TTGGAGGGGTGGACAGGTAGGAGGTGGCCGCAGCATCGTATGTCTCTGAGTATGCGCTTATCCCGTTTTAAACTAGCTTGAGACCTGCACTCTACGGAATGCACGAGGGCGGATGGAGAGGCATGTGCAGGTGTTTACGAGGGTTATCTAGGTGCTGATAGTCGCTTGCCCAAGGAAACAATTTTATGAAGTTTTGAGCATTTATTTATTTAAAAGTATGTTACCTTCTGAATGTTCCTACGTTGCAAATTCCGCACCCCGACGTGAAGGGGTCAGGAGGCGGGTCCTCTGGGCGGCGATTAGGGCCGGAGGCTGGAGCCCCACGAGGGCCTTCGTGCTCTCACATAGGGGACCCCGGAGCGCCCCGAGCCCTCCGTCAAGTGAGCACGGAGAGAAGGCTGTCTACAGCCAGGAGGGGCTCTCCCCAGCGCCCTGGCTCGTGGCACCCCGATCTCAGACTCCCGGCTTCTGGAACTGAGGAAGACACTCCCACTGTGTCTAAGGCCCCCGGGCTGTGATATCGTGTTACAGGAGGGACTAGGACGAAATTCAAGTGTTCAAATCATTTAAATCTTCAGAATTTAGCGCCAGCTACAATACTCTCTGAGGAGCTCTCATTAAAATTAGGGATTAAAATCCTATCGCCACAGAATGAATCTGAAACAGACGCGCACACACGGCCATGTACGAAAGGAGTCCAGAGAACACTGCTGTCCACGACGTGTCCAATTTTCTCAACAGAAACCCCAGGGACAAACCTCGAGAGCGTCTGCTCGTAATTCCCGTAACCTGTAGCTCGCCACCTTCGGTGACTTCCTTAGGAACAGGATGCAGAATCCATTAAGAGTTTTAGCTGAGAAAAGATGGGTCGCTGACGGCGTCTAGGATGAAATACGTCAGCAAGCGTCTTCCTGCTGTGGTCATTTTTATTGACTCCCCCGTGGCAGGAGCAACGGTACCCGTGGATCTGGAAGTCTGCTTCTCCGCGAGCCCAATGATCTTGAGGAGCCGTCCTCTCTGACCTTTCTGCCTATGAAGCGGGTTCTCCTTATATGATATTAATGTGCACATCATTCTATAACATATATTAAGATAATATAGTCACATAATATGTCTTATATATTAAGAATAATATATATGTAAATGAATGGATTTCAAGTATTCCTTTTCACTTGGCATTTCGCAATATTATAAATTAGAACATGCATTCCTGAGACGCGCTGAGCTTCCTGCAGGAATTATTCTGCGTGAGCAATTTGACGTTGACAGTTGGCATCCATGGCCACTTGCCACTTGGTTATATGACAGCTGGAGCAGAAATAAGACCAGGAAAGAGCATAGATCATCATGAAAGGGTTGATCTTTCAACCAAAGAGCACTTTAATAACTGCTCCTCAGTTAACTTTGGAGATGGGGTTTGCTTTCCGGTCTCTTTTTAAGTTTGCGAAGCAAGTCAAACATGCGAACGGAGGGGCGGGAACGTTTCCCATCCAGAATTCTCCGCTCCTCCTTCCAGCAAGAGTCACTGTCTCGGGACCTGAGGTGGCTGTTCTTTGCTCCCAAGCTCACCGTGTCACAAACCTCCATCGCCAGGACCTTAATCGAGAAACCCCCCCATTTGGAATGTCTCCCAAAGAGTCAAAGGAGACCTAATTGCACCTAATGGTGAAGACTGCTGCTTAATTTGGACGGTAATTCCGCTTAATTGAGATGCCTTCAGGTGTCTAAGTGGTGTCCCAGGAAGGGCGATGGCAGTGCGGGCGTCGGCCCGGAATGCCTCATTGCATCTCGGGAGATTTCACCCAAACGAAGCAGGCAGAGAAGTTCCTGGAGCAGCACAAGGTTCAGGAGATTTAACTTGTTCCTTGCTGAGCGCTCGGCATCCACGGCATTTGCATGGAATCTCTACAGACATCTATGCGAATGTGGACGGATGCTGGAGAGAAAAGTTTTTCTCTCCAAAACGAGAGAAGAGAAATGCGTAAACCCAACCCGCTGAAGCCCATTACCTGGCCCCGCCCCTGATACGCGAAACAACGTGACGCTTCTCTGGAAACTCTAGGCCCTTAGTCCGCTCTCATTTCACAGCTGGGTCAAGTTTAAAAATCAACGTCAAAATGTCAAAGAACACACTTCGCGAGCTTTAACTAGTTTTAGCCCACTGGCCTCTGGTGAAACGGGGAAGTAACGGGATCTGAAACACGTGACAAGCAAAAGGTGAATCTGGTGGTAACTGAAAACCGTCTTTGACGTTTGCTCGTCCGTCCAGGGTGGATGTCTCGGGTGCTCCTGCCCACCAGCCCTGCCTCTGGTTTCCAGCTGCTTCTTTCCTCGGGCTCCTGGAGGGGTGGACCAGGGACATTTTACTCAATCGGAACGAAAAGGAAGTCATCTGTGGACATTCTAGAATACTTCTACTAATTTTGATCTTCTCTTTCTAAGAAAGAGAGCCTCATTTCATTGAACTGACTGTGTCGCGTCCGTTTCGTGACCTGAGGATGACATTATCGTGGCCCGGAACAGTGGAACAGAAAGGGATGGCCGGCATGGGAACCCTTGACAACGCCACTGGGCTCCTGAATTAAACCCGCGACGCCCTTGGCCCCGCCCCTGTTACGCGAAATACCGTGACGCTTCTCTGGAAACTCTAGGCCCTTAGTCCGCTCTCCGATTAACTGCGGTCCCAGCTACCCACCGACACGCTGAATAACCTAGTGTTCCACGCCCTGTGGCAGTAGCCACGGGACGGCTGCCAAAGGAAATAACTCTTCTTACGTGAGGGGCCACCTGTGCCATGAAAGGAACAGCCGTGTGTCGATCCCGCGGAGGAGCAAGGCGGCTGTGCCGTCTCAGACTAGGGGGCTGCTCCCCCGGAGTCTCAGCCTCCGCGCTCCCAAGTAAAGGTTTAGACAAACGAACACCGGCTTCCTTTACTGACATAGATAGTTCAATTATTCCAACCTGCATAGGAAAGGAAATTCAGATATGTAGACATATCTTTAGCATAAGAAAACATGATTATCCAAAACTAATCTGGATTTAAATACATTTTGAAAATCCTGGAAGGGGGGGTCATCGGATTCTCTGAAGCTTCGGCTTGAAGCCACCGCTTTCCCCGTGAAAACACCGTGGGTTCGCGTCCACGCCACAGAGAGGAGCGACCTGAAAACTGTGGCACTGAGCACTGCGGGGTCACCGTCACGTGTCCCGGCAGAGGGCCCGTCCACCTTCCCGCGGACCCCGAGAGGCAAACGATGCCGCGGGCACAATGCTCTTCACTCGATCTGGCGTCTCTGCGTGACGTCGTGCAGACCCCAGGTTTCAGCAGCCAACTACACACTCGTGACTTCCAGACGGACCCCCCCCCCCGGGTTACATCCACCTGGACACAGTAGGCAGCTCTCCCGTTGTGCCTAAAACTGAACTCATGATCTCTTCCCATAAAAACCGCGCGCTGAGGTCCCTTCCCTGGGTGGAGGCAGGGGCGATTCGTAACCTACTGTTCACAGCTGGAACAATCTGGAGAGTGAAGGGCGTGACCGGAAGCACGCAAGGACCGCAGCTGCGTGCCCGGACTCCCCAGGGGGATGGAGCACCTGCCCCTTCGGGGGAGGGGTTCCCCACCCACCCCAAAGCCGTTCTTGATGCCCTCTCTCCATCCTCACTCAAGGTATCTGCAGCCAAAGCCACGTGGGGCACAGTGTCAAAGCAAGACTCAAACGTGCCTGCCTGTCCCTCCTCCCCATCCCGGGCTGGACACTCATTCTTATTCGGACCCCCACGGAAATGGATGCAACTTATTTATAACGAATTCAACACCGAATGTGTCCCCCAAACAAAGAAACCCAATTGTGTTAGTACTTTCTCTCTAAAGTTCATTAGGACTTTTCCAAATTTCAGTTCCTATGACTGAACTTGCTGAGAGCCAAACAGAGCACACATACGGAGTTTTTGAAAGTGTGCAAATGCAGGGCAAAATAAAAAGCGTTATCTCCAAACTGGTAACATGCTACCTTTGCTTAACACAGATCTAAACGAAACTCTTCTGTCGATGGACAGACTAACGAGAGGGCTTGGTAAACAGTTGCTAAGTGATAAGTAACTGACAGTCTACTTGTCTCGCGCCCGTCTGTGTCACTGCTGGTAACGACAGCCTGCGACAGACACTCCCGTTCCCCTTGCTCAGGCTCGTGCATCCACTTACGCCGTCTTCACAGCCACCCTCAAAATTAGATACTATTACTACATATTTCACAGATAAAGAGCCTGAGGCCCAGTACTACAGAGCTGGTACCTCCGGGGCTGAGCGCGGAGCCTAGCGAATAGCGGGCCTCCGTAACAATTCCAATCTATCCACCACTGAAAGGCACATAGGAAACGCAGATGGCTCGGATTAGTAGAACTGATGTCCCAAGGTGCACAGATAAGGACAGTAGGGTGTGCGGAGCCTTTTGTGGTAGCAAAGCCACCGAGTCGGAGGAAAGCTCAGAGACAAGCACTGTGTGGTCTCACATGTGACGTCTGAAAAGAAAGGCTGAGCTCATCGAGAGAGTAGGGCGGCTGTCACCAGGGTGGGGGGCGGAGGCAGCGGGTGACGGGATCCCGAGGTACTCAGGTCTGGGGGAGGGGGTGCAGCCTGCTGACTGTGGTGAACGCTGCCACGTCCGTACTGCAGAGCTGCTAAGCGTAGACGTTAAAAATCCTCGTCGCAAGAGAAAAATGTGCACCTATGTGACGTTAACTGCATTTGACATAATCATCTCGCCACGTACACACGTGTCCGTATCACGCGGTGCATCTTAAACTGATACGCGTGACGCGCCGGCTGCATCTGAGCAGAACCGGAAGGACGGGGACGCCAGCCCAGGACGGGCGGCCGGTGGCCCCACGGAGGATGCTCACGCTGCAGCC